TGGAGCACCAGCACTTTTCATCGAGAAGGCTAAAGACCTGGTAAAGCTACAAATCCCAGGACTCCATAGGATGGAAATACAGCACTTAAAGTGGTGTCAAACTGCATCATTTCTATTGCACCCCATGATTCAATTAAAAATAAATGCTACTAGGTAATAGCATGGCCAGAATGAGTCCATACATTAGTACAAAATGAGCTCTGGAACAGGCTGGTGCACTTATTTAGGAGGAGAGGTGTTGCACTGACCAGATGTCTGTGATTCCCAAACTTTGGTCCTCCAGGTGTTTTGGACTTCAGCTGCCAGAAACCCCAGACAGCTTGCCCAAAATTCAGGAATTCTGGACGCTGAAGCCCAAAACATCTGGAGGACTAAAGTTTGGGAACCACTGGGCCACAGACCAAGGTGAGCAAAGTGTTGTCCTGGGCCCTCACCTAATTCCCAAATCTATTTTGCAGTCCTCAGTGTCTTCTGGCTCTCCAGACTTCCTCCCTTTATTTTGGAAATAAAAAGTGAAATTGTTTCATGGATGCATAAGTACTGCATACTCTTCAACTGTCTCAGTTTAGCAGGGACATTCCCTATTAATCCTTTGCTGTCCCACTTTCTCCACTGCCTTTAAAATGCACCGGTTTCTCTCTTCTCCTTCTCCTCATTCATCCTCAGATTACTTCAATTGCTGCAAATTTATTTCAAACTGTAAAAGTATTTAACACTCTGTTAATTCAGCCAAAGGGAGAGAAGTGGGCAAAAACCTATCCTTGTCAGTTGGTCAATTGTTTTCTCTCTCTTTTATTCCCCCCCCCCCCCGGCTTGCTTTAACTCAGTGCTGTACATTACATTCCTGGGGTTTTCTGCTTAAAGCCAAAGTTTTAAACCTTTGATAAGAGCTCTGGGTATTCTTCATTTTTCAATATGGTATGTTCTGGCAGAGGCAGTGTGGTGCAGTGATTTCAGTGTTGGGCTATGACTCTGGAGACCAGGGTTCGATTCCTAGCTCAGCCATGGAAACCCACTGGGTGACCTTGGGCAAGTCACACACTCTCAGCCTCAAGGGAAGGCAATGACATACCTCCTCTGAACAAACCTCATCAAGAAAACCCTATTATAGGTTCTCCTTAGGGTTGCCATAAGTCGGAAATGACTTTAAGCCAGACGACACACCTGGCCAGGATACGAAAATTGGCTAGGTCGCTGATGTGCGTACTGTACATGTATTTGCAGCTTTGTAGTGACTTCCTCCATTAAAAACAGTAACTTTCAACACAATGTGAATGTCAGGTTTGTGTGTAGTAGAAAAGCTTCCACTCAAGTACCTTTTGAATGGGAGGATGCATGTCTAGGAATATATATATATATATATATATATATATATATGCCCTAGGTTGCAATGAGTGCACAGTTATAGTACAATAAGCTAATTGTAAAGCAGTGGGGGGGGGGCACCTTGTGATGATTTTGCCCTTGCCATTGTGAAGCTGGTGACTGCTAGCCCAATTTCCTGGTCCACTAGCCCTCGATGCTCATCTTTACGCTAACACACAATGCCAGGGATGACTAGGAACGCTCAGACACAGAAAGAAAGCTTGCGTGCCAGGCCACTTGCGGTTCTTGCAATGCCCACACCCTCGCCATTGTTATTTCCAGCACATTGGATCGGATGCAGTGTGTGCGATCAGGACTAGCGGCATGTTCTTCCAAATATTGGATAAAAGTGTGTGTGTATGGGGGACCACTGCAGGGAGATGCCCTGAGCAAGGAGCAGGGAGGCTCTTCCCAGATACCCGAAAAATGAGCTTATTTTAGAATTTGATTTTTTTAAAAACACACAAAACCATCACCACCAAACTCTCAGTGTATGCGAGGGACAAGTCTGCCCTGACATTTGAGCCCGGAGGGGAAGGTTAGAGGTCGTCTTTTGCCCTGCCGACATGCCATAGCTGGTTCCCTGAAATGATCTCCCATTCCTTAGCATTGGCAAACAGCCTTTGGCAGCAAATGATGCACCCTCTGGGCCGAGCAGCCAGCGCACCAGCTCTCAAATATCGTATTTCTTATAAGCAGAAAGACTTATAAGAAAATGAGGGAAGGAAAAATCTTCTATCCTTATTTGAGAGTGCTGAATCCCAGCTGAGAAAGGCAACGTTTTGAATATTGGTAAGAAAACCTAAATTTGAGAAATGCAAACTGGGGGGTGGCTGGGCAGCTAAGATTTTTGAACACTTGTTGTGCACTTTCAAGTCATTTCCGATTTATGGCGGCACGCTTTGTAAGCATCGGTGGTTTGAGTTCTGGATTAGGACACTGGGAGACCAGGTCCTGGTTCCAGTTTGGCCACAGAAACCCACTGGGTGACTTTGGGCAAGTCACACTCTCTCTCAGGGTCAGAGGAAGGCAAGGGCAAACCTCTGTGAACAAATCCTGCAAGAAAACCCCATAATACAGGGTTGCCTTGTTGTTGTTGTTTGCCTTCGAGTTGTTTCCGACTTACGGTGACTCTAATCGTGGGGTTTTCTTGGCAAGTTTCTCCAGAGGAGGTTTGTCATTGCCATCCTCTGAGGCTGAGAGAGTGTGACTTGCCCAAGGTCACCCAGTGGGTTTCACAGCCGAGCCGGGATTCAAACCCTGGTCTCCCGGTGTCCTAATCCAACACTCAAACCACTACACCACTAAGCATTCTACCTTTCATAAGGAGATTATAAAGCAACCTTTGGTCTCATATAAAGATCAGGACATGGGAAAGGATATTTACAGAAGTTAAGATGAAGTGAAAGTAATTTGGGCTGCTGCCATACTGCAGAATCAGTGCAGGTTGACACCGCTTTAACCATCATGGCTCCATCTAGGCTATGGAATCCTGGGATTTGTAGTTTTGTTGCAAGGAATCAAACCCTGGTCTTCAGAGAGTTGATGGAGAGTTGTTGGACCAGATATCTGTAATTCCCAAACTTTGGTCCTCCAGGTGTTTTGGACTTCAGCGGCCAGAAACCCCAGACAGCTTGGCCAACAGTCAGGAATTCTGGAAGCTGAAGTCCAAAACATCTGGAGGACTAAAGTTTGGGAACCCCTGGGCCATAGACCAAGGTGGGCAAAGGGTTGTCCTGGGCCGCACACAACTCCCAAAGCTACCTCCAACAACTCTCCATCCAACATTCAAACCACGACGTCGCGCTGGCTGGTTTGCCGTAAGTCAGAAATGACCTGGAGGCACACAACAATGGCTACACAGATGCGGCTATTCAGTTTTTTAAATCAATGAGAAACACACACACATATACAAATCCTTCAAGGCAGGGTTCTTGCCCTGCGGTCGCCCCCCATCACTCGAACGGCCCGAGACTCAGGGTCATTTCAGTCATTTCTTCAGACTTGGACAGCTCCTGGAATCTGGCAACACCATACCTGGCTACAAGGAGCACACAACTCCCTTGTTGCAACAGCCAAGGTATTGTGTTGCCAGATTTCAGGAGCTGTCGGTCTCTCTCTCCAGACACAATCCAAAGCACCAGTGATGACTTACCAAGTCTTGTGCAGCTCAGGTCCACAGCTATCTATCTCAAAGACCGTATTGTCCCCTAGGAACCTTTGGAGGTCTTTAAGCAGAAGCTGGATGGCCATCTGTCGGGGATGCTTTGATTGTGAGTTCCTGCATGGCAGAATGGGGTTGGACTGGATGGCCTTTGGGAGTCTCTTCCAACTCTAGGATTCTATGAACCTCAACGTCATTTGACATCTTCTGGGGAGACCCTTCACTTTGTTCTACCACCTTCACAGCCACTTCTGGTCATAATATAGGAGAGGGCCTTCTTGGTGGCTGCTCCCAGTTTGTCTTCCCAGAGGGATTAAACTGGCACCTTCCTTTGGTAGCCAGGTGAAAACCTTTTTGTGTTTCAGGAGGCCTTTGATGCCTCCTTGCCCATCTTGGGATAACAGGACAGATTGTTAATGGTATCGATGGTGTTGATAGCACAGTATGAAGCAGTGTATATATAAATGAAATGAAGCTGCTTGTTTGCTTTTACCTTTTTATATAACTGCTTATTTTTCCACTGATTTTAATTATATGGTTGTTTACTTTTACTTGTTAACTTTTGCATGGTGTCAATTTCTCAGGTGTATCCAGTTCAAACTTTTATAAGCTTCATCCTGTTTTAACTTTAGATGCTGCAGCCTCAGATTCCAGGCTGGATCCAAATCTTATAACCACCAACACAACCCTACAGCCCACGCAACTAACTGCCTGACCATTGATGAAGTATATACTTCTTTTAAAGGGTGGTAGATTTAGAATCATAGAGTCCTAGAGTTGGAAGAGACCTCCAGGGGCCATCCAGTCCAACCCCAACCTGCCATGCAGGAACTCTCAATCAAAGCACTCCCGACAGATGGCCATCCAGCCTCTGTTTAAAAGCCTCCAAAGAAGGAGACGCCATCACTTTCCGAGGCAATCTATTCCACTATTGAACAGCTCTCGAAGGCAAACCTATTACAGGGTTTTCTTGGCAAGATTTGTTCAGAGGAGGCTTGGCATTGCCTTCCCCTGAAGCTGAGAGAGTGTGACTTGCCCAAGGTCACCCAGTGAGTTTAATAGTTGAGCTGGGAATCGAACCCAGCTTCCCAAAGTTGTAGTCCAACACTCAAACCACTACACCACACTGGTCCCAAAGCAGAATAGCGTGGCACTATGACTTCCCTTGATCTAGACACTATACTATAGTTTTATTATGGGGAGCCAGCATGGTGTAGTCTGAATGCTGGACTATGACTCTGGAGACCAGGGTTGGATTCCCCACTCAGCCCTGGAAACCAACTGAGGGATCTTGGGTAAGTCACACTCTCTCAGCCTCAGAGGAAGGTTAGCCGTCTCTGAACAAATCTTGTCAAGAAAACCCCATGACAGAATTGCCTTAGGTTGTCATAAGTGAGAAACTACGTACTTGAAAGCATACACAACAACAACAACAAGTTATTTTCTGTATAGCTTCATGCAACTGTAGAGAGGCAGCGTGGCATAGTGGTTTGAGTGTTGGACTACGACTCTGGAGACCAGGGTTTGATTCCCATCTCAGTCATGAAACCCACTGGGTGACCTTGGGCAAGTCACACTCTCTCAGCCTCAGGGGAAGGGAATGGCAAACTTCCTCTGAACAAACCTTGCCAGTAAAGGTTTACCTTAGGGTCTCCACAGGTGAGAGCCACCTTGAAGGCACACAACTGTAGTTTCCCTGGCTCTCCCTTTGGGCTGGACTCTTCTTTTATGGCCATCCTTTAAAACTTGTTGCCACCTTTCCAGGGAACCCTAAGAAAAAGAAGGAGAGCTTGCTAGACCTGGCCTGTTTAGTGGGGAGGGGGCCCAAGGCTCAGAGGCCAAGGCTCCGAACAGCTCTGGCTTCTGAAGGCTTTATAAGGACAAAAGCTGGAAACTTTGAACCGGGAGAGAGAGAGAAAGAAAAAGTGCTGGCAAGGGAAACCTCAGGGGTCTGTCTGTCTGTCTGTCTGTCTCTTGGAGAGCAGGAGAGGCCCCTGCCTCCCATTCCCAAAGCTCCAGAGGCTGGACTGGGAAGGAGGACAGGAACAAGGGAAGCAGTCTTCCTTCCTTCCCTGTCTGTCTGTTTTCCTTCCTTCCTCTTTCATTCACTTCCTCCCTCCCTCCATCTTTCTTTCATTCTTTCCTTCTTTCTGTTTGTCTGTCTGTCTGTCTTCCTTCCTTCTTTCTTTCTTTCTTCTCCTTCCTTCTTTCCTTTTTTCCTTCCTTCCTTTCTCCTTCCTTTTTTTTCTTCTCCCTCCTTCCTTCCTTTCTTCTTTCTTTCTTTCTCCTTCCTTCCTTCCTTTCTTTCTTCTCCTTCCTTCCTTCCTCTTTCTTTCTTTCTTTCTTTCTTCTCCTTCCTTCCTTCCTTCCTTCC